CTCCTGCGGCCGGAGGCCGGGCCTGGAAATTCAAAATCCGGCCCTGGGGCAACCGTCGCGCGGCGCGCCGGGCTGGGCGTGGCCGGGGCAGGACCAAGGGCAGCTGGGGGGACGCCCGGGACTGCCCGCCTCGGAGCCCTGGGCCCCACGCCCTCTGGTCCCTCCCGCCGCCCCGCGAGGACCCCTGGAGGGGCCGGGCCTGAGAGTGGCGGGGGGGGGGCGAGCTGAGAGGTTTCCGGGGCGGGTCCGCGTTACAACCCACACCCGGCGGTTCAGGGAAATTCAAATACAAACGTTCAGAACAGCCTCACGCGAAACTCGAAGAGGCCGGGGCGATCGCGGCCGTTGTAACCTTATCCCCCGCCGGCGGGAGGGCTCGGGAAACGGTCCCGAGGCCCCGCCGCGGTGCAGTTACGTAACGAGCTCCTGCGTCCCAGGTTCCAAAGTCTGCCCGTGCAAGCCCAGATTTTCCTCTCGGATAAAAACAATGTAGCAAAACACCTCCCGGTGAAACAGCTGCGTGTCCCACAGATCGTCACAAAAGCTAGCAACCCTGATTTTAAATCAGTCGCTACCCAGGCTGTTGGGCGTTTCCCGATCGGTTATTTTTTCTACAATTGAAAGGTTTGTAAAGTGAAAAACAGCATGGGATGAGCGGGACTGAGCAAATAAGACCACAGGCTATTGTCATATTGTATTAAAATCAGATGCATAACGTTCTGAGCTTGTGAAAATTTAGGTTGAAACAACGTTTTGCTTTATAAAGAGGTTGCCCGAGATGTAATTAGCAGTTTATAATAATAGGAAAGTCCATTAATCCCTTGAAAAGCTTTAACTTTTATTCTAATGTTTACTGGAATTACTGTGTCCTCCACTGGGCTTGCATGGATTGTGCTGTCACAACCGCCCTGCGGTGTGGGAACTGAATCGGTTCTATTTGAAAAGTCATTCTTTTTATAGACGAATTTTCTTAAAGCCAACCGGTAGGCGACAGGACTGCATTTGACGCCGGGGTTCTAATTGACTCAGAGTCTGGCTTGAACTATAACCTATTATAGATGGCCACCTAACAACCTGTTAGGAGACATTTGTAATGAGAGATTGGTTCCCTTAATAGGCAGAAATGGAGACTAGGATACTCTTTAACCATTAATCAAGTCGCGAAGTTAAAAATTAGTGAACAGCAGGGCGGCTGCATATCCAGTCTGAGTGATTTTCTGACGCTTTTTGCATGATACTCTTTCTCCTTATTAAGGGTTCTGTTTCCTGTGCTGTTTTCTAAAAGATCTCCTTCCTTTTACATCTTTGAGAAAAGAATTGAAAAGATCAGATTTTAAGTTACATATTCAAACTTAAAGGGGCTCTTAAAACTTAAAAAAGAAATTAAAGGGGACCTTGTAATATCTATGTTGTGATGAGGAAATGAGGCTTAAAGAAGGTCCCTGGAATCAGGCTTGGAACAAATGTTCTCTGCCTACGTGGAGGCCCTTTCCACTAGGACTGAGGAGGTGGTCACTTCTTTGGTCTTACAGTTCTCTTACAGTTCTCATGCCTTCCTCCCTTTGCCTCCGCTTTTAAAAACTATTTGGAAATTTTAAAAAATCATTTCCAGGGACTAGAGGGTAGCATAGTGGTTGGGGCACTGGACTCCCACATGGTAGACTGAGGTTAGGTTCAAGTCCCAAAGCTGGCAGATGGCTTTCTCATCTCTGTCTCTGGTTAGTCCACATGCCCTGTAGCAAATTGGAAAATAATAGTAATAATAAATAAAATAAATCATTCTTTAATTTCTTTAAAATCATTTTCTGCCCATTTATTAAAGTCTATTTACATATTATTTCTTTTTAATTTCTTGCATGAGAGTAACAGAAAGACAGGCATCCCCACCAGGTAATGGTGCACCTTTTCAGTCGGACTTCACTAAACATTTACTTCCTTCCTTCTTGAGGTATTTCCCATACCTAACTCCCTTCCCTGCTTTGTTGTTGTTAGAGGCCCCATGGACACACCAAAAAGAGAGGAAAGGTGAGGAAGCTCCCTGCAGGAGGGACCACTCCACAATCCCTTCTTCATTCTTCATTCAGAAATTAAGGCATGCACGCACACACATCTGGCGTGTTTTTCAAGCCTCCAGCTTTGGGACTCAACCAGTTGGCTGTGTGGGATACTGCCGCCTGGCCCATCCATTCTCTACTCTTTTATGCTAAATTTGTCTAGTTCACTTTATTCAAGTAATTCCTGAAATCCCATCACCTCCACAGGTTTTTTCCAATGAATTCTAGAAGCGAAGTAGCGAATACGATGTAAACTTTCATGACAGTACTCCTGCATATGCTGGGCTAATGATTTCAAACGTCTCGCCTTGTTATTGCTATAAATCTTCATTGACTTGCCAGGGCTTATGTCCTGATTATTGGTTAGGCCTGGTAGCTGTATCCCCACCGAGCCTCGAGCCTGGACATGCCATGCATTGGTTTTCCTCTTCCCTGCCTGTGGTAATGCACAGCCACTGCACTGCATAGAATTGTTTGACATTCGTTCGACTTTATGTGTGTCCTTTGGATCTGGGACAGAAAAATACAGGATACCCAAGAGATCTGAGCAGGAGGCCCAGACTCGATGGCGGTGGGAAGGCAGGGGGAGGGGAGACTGAAAGCTAGCAGTAACCCACCCCTGTCCCAGGAGAGGGGAGTGACAGCTGGCAGCTCACTGAGAGACAGTGCAAACAAATGGATAGCTAAGTCTGCAGAACGAAATGAAAGAAGATCGCTAACCGGTGTTACTTCGATGTATGTTTGCCAAATACGTGAGTAAAGAAAGAAATGAATGCATGTTTGTTTGTTTGGTTTTTTTTTTTACTAGGCTAAGGTTGTTTCATTTAATATATTTTCCAAAATTGACTCTCTTTCTGATTATCATAAAAATATAATAATAAATCATATTTCAGAATCCTTTCCAACTCTGATTTTGATTTTGTGTTTTAAAATTAATTCAGGGGAAGGGACTGGCAGGTGCCGGGGTGGTTAAGGATGCTGGACTCCCACATAGCCAACTGTGGTTCAAGCCCTGGACTTGGCGGCTTGCTTTCTCACTTTCCCTCTCTCTCTCTTTCACTCTGTCCCTGTCTAGTCAAATTAAAATAAATGAATAAATAAAGATAAAGAAAATAAAATAATTCTTTAAAAAAAAATTAACTCAGGAGCCAGCAGATGATGTGGTGGTTAAGACGCTGGGCTCTCACATGACTGACTATGGTTCTGGTCCTGGACCTGGCAGCTAGCTTTCTCACTTTCCTTCTCTTTCTCTGTCTCTTTATGATCAAATTTAAAAAATAATGGGGCCAGCAGGTGGTATGGTGGTTAAGGCACTGGACTCCAACATGGCTGACCACAGTTCAAGTCTTGGACTCCAGAGCTTGAATCTCTTCCCAGGCACGTATGCGTGAGTGCCCAAGGTCCCAGGAGGAGAATGGAGGAGTGGTGATGACCTCTGGGCGTAATTTCTCGCTTTCTCTCTATCTGTGTTTCTCTGGTGAACACAGGCACCCTAAAACAAAAATCTCTCAAAAAAATTTTTTAAAAATGTGGGGGACCAGCAGGTAGCATGGTGGTTAAGGCACTGGACACTCCCACATGGCCAACTATGGTATGAGTCCCGGACCCGGTGGCTTGCTTTCTCACTTTCCCTCTCTCTCTCTGTCTCTCCATGTCTGTCTCTGGTCAAATTAAAAAATAAAGAAATGAAGGGAACCAGCAGTTAGCATAATGGCTATGTCGCTGGACTCCCACGTAGTCGACCGCGGTTCGTGTCCCGGACCTGGTGGCTTAGAATTCACGCCGGGTACGTGTGCATGCGTGCCCGAGATCCCAAGAGGAGAATGGAGGAAAAGGGATTGCGGCGTGACCATGCCCCCTAGGGGGTGATTTCTCGCTTTCTGTCTTTGTGTCTCTGTCTGTCTGGCAAGCGCACGCGCCCTATAGCAAAAACCTCTCCCCCCCAAAAAAGAAAGAAATGAATAAATAATAATTTTTTAAAATATTTTTTAAAAATTTTAATCAAATTTAAAAATAATGATAAATAAAATAATTATTCTTTGAAAAAAGAACTCAGTGGAAACCAGCAGTTAGCATAATGGGTATGTCGCTGGACTCCCACGTAGTTGGCCGCAGTTCACGTCCCAGACCCGGTGGCTTAAAACTCACGCCGGGCGCGTGTTCGTGCGTGCCCAAGATCCCAAGAGGAGAATGGAGGAGAAGGGATTGTGGTGTGATCATCCCCCCTGGGGGGTGATTTCTTGCTTTCTGTCTCTATGTCTCTCTCTGTCTGGCGAACGCACGGGCCCTATAGGAAAAAAAAAAAAAACTGTCAAAAAAAAAAAAAAAAAATGAACTCAGGAGACCAGACAGTGGCATGGTGGTTAAGGCGGCTGGACCACAAGTGGCCAACTTTATAGTTCGAGTGCTGGACCCATTGGCTTGAAAAATACACCTGGTGGATGTCCAAAATCCCAAGAGAATGAAAGAGAAGAGATTGTGGCTTGGGCTAGGGGTGATTTCCTCTCTCTCTCTCATCCTCTCTCCTCTTCCCCCCTCCTCCAACCCCAGCCAGAACACACACCCTATAGCAAAACATACATGCATACATACATACATACATAACAGCTTGGGGACTCAGCTGTAGTGGACATGCTACTCAGCAGGATGAGGTCACACAGGAGGCCTAGGTGCTAGTTCTGGCCCACGCTAAAAGGCAGTAGGTACTTGTAGCTGCACTTGGGAGCCTGAGCCAAAAAGATCATGACATAGCAAGACCCTGTCTAAAAAGAAAAAAGAGCTCAGCAGTTTTAAAATATTACTGTCACCTTTCATCAGATCGTTCACATAACATAGCTACCTGAAATATATACAGTTCAAAATTGTTTTCCAAGTATGCTTCTTAAGATCTGGACATGGGATCAGCAAATGGCATAGCAATTACATCGCTGGACTCCCACATGGCTGACCACAGTTCAAGTCCTGGACCCGGAGGCTTGAAAATCATGCTGGGCACATGTGCGTGCCCAAGATTATGGAAGGAGAAGGGATTGTGGCATGGCTATCCCTCCCTGGGGGTGATTTCTCACTTTCCCTCTCAGTCCAGTGAGTGCATGTGCCCTGAGGCAAAAAGCTCTTACACAAGTAAAAGAAAAAATTTGAAAAG